CTGTACAAGCTGAAGTCTATTAATCAGATACTTTGGGAGACCGTACAGTAGGGCGTTACAATAGTCCAAACGCGATGTTATGTAAGCGTGAACAATAGTTTCAGTAGTACTCTGGGATAGGTATCGCCTAATTTTAGCTATACTACGAATGCGGAAAAATGCACTCTTGCAGGTTATTTTAACATGTTCTTTGAAATCCAAACATTGATCGAATGCAACTCCTAAATTCCTGGCCTGTTTACTAGACTTGATTACTTCACCAACTCGTATATAGTCGAGGGGTGGTCGTGGACGATATTTAGAACTAATAACCAAAAGTTGTCTTATATGGAAGCCCCCCCTGGAACTTTAGGTGCTAATTCATATAAGCGTCATAAAATGTTGCCATTGTAGTACCCTCCTGAAATCTTACAATAGTCGTCACTGAGCTTCAATAATAAGCTGTTAATGGATCACCCCTTTTATTAATGACTGAATAAACAACAGCTCATTAATTTTTTTGAGTTTAATATCCTTCTAAACTATTGTTTCTTTTTCTTCCTGTGTCAAAATAATTACATAATATTGTATTGAAAGGTAAAATTGAAGAATACAGTTGAACCTTACTATTTCAAACTCTCAGGGGAAACGGAAAATTGTTCGAAATAGCAAGAGTTTGAAATAGCTGATAGCAAATAGCTGAAGGGCAAATCCAAGGGAATATAGGGCAAATCCAATGAAAATAGTTTTGAGTTTGAACAACGAATTCAAAATAACTGAGTTCAAATTAATAGGGTCCAACTGTAACTACTTCTCCCACTCAGTGTTGTGAAATGCAGTCTTAAACAACAGAACTCATTGAACAGTAAAGAATATAGAGTACATTGTTTCCTGTACATGTATAAGGTTTCGTTGAATCTGTTACATTCAATTCACTAGTTGTGAAGGTTCCAGATAAGTTTTCAAGACAGGATATCAATAAGGAGTTCCAACAGGTCAATTGCAACTGTTCCCACAAAATTATTGTAAATTTTCTATTAATTTGTTGGGTCATGTAGCTGACCTTGTTAGGTTTTTGACCAGAGACCCCTCACTTATCTGGAACACTGGTTGTATGCACCAGTTTAGAATGACTGTTTTTTTTCTTTTTCTTTTCTTTTCTTAGCACTCACAAATGAACACAATAATTATAATTATTACTTTCCTGTACAAATTACAAATCATGAAATCAAACTTGAGACCTTTTGTTAATCCTTCATGCCACAATTATTTTCCACTTTGTCAGTGAAGCTTTTAATTCAATTTGATATTTGAGAATAGCATATGTAGAGCTTGGCAAAAATAAATTGTAGGCTTATGTTGTGGGTAAAATTATGACTCCAATTCATATATCTTATTAACCAAGTGCGAAGGCCATACTGGGAGAATATTAGCCCGAGGTCTTAACTGTACTGACCAAGCACAGCGAGGTCCATACCTAAAAGACCAAGGGTCAATATTCTTCCAGTATGATACCAAGCAAGCTTGGTTAATATGAGATTTATTACACGACTCTAACTGCCTGAAAATCTTAAGAGTAACCTAGTAAGCTAAATACCATTGACACTTACATTATTCTGTTTGTTCACTGTGGGATCACTGGGCACAGTGCCCAGTCCAATGCTTAGAGAATATTGGACTGGCAATAAAGCAATCCCATTGGTTGATTTTAGTTATTGGACCTCTGAACTAGCACAGTTGTGTAACAAAAAAATTCTTATTTACATGCTTGATAAATGAATACCCTGTACATTTGAGACTTTAAATATATTTCAAAGAAGGAAGCAAGAGTCCACCTCCCCTAACCAATGTTTTCTGAAAAATATTAACAATTTTACTCTAACTCTGCACAATCTACAGCACTGACTTCTTCAACATTCTAAAATCAACACAAACTATTCTATCCTCGCAGGCTCCTGGGTGCCAAGGGGATCACAAATAGGTAGCATTCATTTTAACCAATCCAGTTTTGGAATTAGTTAATCCAGATAATTTGCTTGAATGTTCATAGAAGCTGGAACAAAAAACTGAAAAAAAGGTCGAGCTACTACAGCAAGGGGCCTGGGAATGCCTTTTTTAAACACAAAGATGAAATCCAGAACAAGTTTGCTCAAGTGGAACCAGCTTTGGTTTCAAATCTAAATGATTCGCCTTGAGACATGGATTGTTTGGACTGCAATCTTAGATTGGTTTGGCCATAAATGGATTGAGAAATCTGACTTATTTCTGATTGCAAAATCTGGATTTAGCCTGGTAAAAAGAAGTGCTGTCATAAAGATAGGGGTATGCCTTGTATTTCCCTTCCTTCAAACGACTAAGTTGTTCTTTTCACATATTCAAGACAGAGCTTTGAAGTGGAATCTATTTTTAATGCTTCTGTAAGAGGGCCACCAATGTGGTGTCTGTGTACTACACTTTCCCCATATTATTATTTTCATAATAACTTGATAAATTAAAATTATACCAAGCTATTGATGATTGGTTTCTTTCCCTCTTTTTTCCTCCTGGACACTCCTCTCTGGCCCTCATTAGTGTCTAGAAGTTCTGTGGTTTGCCAGGAAATGGTAACCAATGGGAAAAAAAAACATCAAAGAGAAAAGTCCACTCATAGTAAGTCCAAAAAAACAAAAGATATGTGGATAATAAATTCTATGCCCCTAGCCTGAATCATGGTATTCATCAGCAACCAGCAAATCTATCAAATTGAATGGACTTGCGACTTGCAACAACAACAATTTAATACATAATTACAGTGGACAGATTAGTTTAGGACAATGCAGGACAAAATGTCACTTCAGTATTTTTGTGATTGCCTAATTACGGCCAGTGTCAGGTTATATTAAGAATTATTCATTGTCCAGAACCTCCAACCCCCCAAAAAGTATTACAATATCTTGCTATGTTTTAATGGACCTGATTGAAGTAGTGACACAGTGATTGCATCATAGTTTGGTTACAGAAATAAATAATGATTGCACTGTCTGTCTGTGTATGAAAATATGGTTCATATTCAGTCAGCTTTCTTCCCCCCATTCCCTCCAGCAGATATCTTTGATTTACTACCAGGACTCTGCCAGTCCTCATTACTCCATCCACTTGATTCACCCCACTCATCATTGTCCCAATTTATCAGATCTCCCCAGCCATCGTTACTGGCTGTGGCATCAGTCTTTGGTGGTGTCCTGGTAGTTGCTCTTGCTGATGATTGCTTTGCAACCCCAGAGACACCATTCTTGGGTGGCAACTTTTGTTTTGGGCTCTCTGAGTCACTTCCCCAGGCCCAAGAATCTCCATTATCATCCTCATCACCACCTTCTGTTGTTGTTTTAACATTAATCCCCTCATCGTCATCAACCTCCTCTTCATTGATATCTGTGTAACTATCCCAATCCCAGTTTCCATCGCCATGACTAGTCGCATTGCTGAATGGCGACACACCATTGACAGCTCCATAGCCTCCTCCAGAGTTTGCACCACTTGTGAGAGATTTTGTACCATAATCACCACTGCTGTTTTGATTGACAAATGTTTGAATATTGGCCCAGCCTTTCACACTGGCAGTCTGCAGGTTTGTCCATCCCTTGGTACTGGCATCCCGTACCTATTAGCCAAGACAAATTTTCAGTTTAGAATAACTTTTAAACAATCAATGATGAGTATCTCCTGTGGAGAAAATTGGTGCATGCTAGGAGAACACATTGAAAAACACCTAGATTAATCATCTTCTTTGCTTGTGTTGCACATACAATGGTGTATGTAAATTTCAATTGTGCTCCGAAGTAGGGTCATGCATGACAAAAAGTTTCTGTCTGCTCTTTATGAAATCTCAGTACACTTTCTGTCTTATTCCCCAATCCTGGAGTGAATACTTAGAAGACTTCATGAAGTCATTTCAATCTATGGTTTATCAAGGTGTAGACCATAGAAAAATGTTATAGACTTGTTTATGCCTACCTTACTGGACAAAGTAGACATTGAAGCTGACATGTCATCAAGCAGTTTGCCCTCTTGAACCTGAAAATGAATAATATTATGAAACAGATACTGCAATCTTACAATTTTAATAAACAAGTCTGTTCCTGGAAAATTTTACTTTGCAAGACATTATCAAAATGAAATACAAAATCTAAAAAAATAATACCAAAACCTCAGCCTATTATTTGGCTTTCAATGGCTTTTCAACATACCCTGGTTGACACTTTCTTTACACCTTCATTCATTGTAGTTCCCAGCTCTGCTGCCTATGGGTTAAAAGGAACAGAAAATTAAGTTTACTTTTGAACTATATATATTGCTACATTTTTGACAAAAAAAGGTGAATTATGCATAAAAGAGATATTCATGATAATGCTAAATGTTTCTCAACTTTACATACCTTAGTTGCTGTGGGTTTAATAACTGATTCATTGACTGTAGAGCCCAGCTTGACAGCCTACAATTGAATTAAATTATTATTAAATTAATTCCTGGTAAAAATAGGAGACAGACTGTAGGAAAGGTGTTTACTTCAAATTACAGGTAAGCAGGAATTATGGTGGATTCTTGTGTTTTGTTGAATAATAATAATAACTTTGATGTTGAATAATAATAAGTTGCTAACCTGTTGGGAAGCAACTGTGGCAAATTGAGCAGCTCCTGCAGCAAATGAACTCCAGCCCTAAACAACAAAAACAAAATTAGGTGAAAATTGCAAATTTATTACCAGAAACTGTTTGTCTTATGAATTATACATTTCATTTTTTTTTAGACAAACTTCCAAGGGTGATAACTCTCTCATTTCGTCTTACAACATTGATACAGTATGCAGCAAACAGGTTACAAGAATGTAGAAATGAGATGTTAAAAGAAAGAAAAATGTTAAGAGAAATTGATGGTCCCCACTTACTGATGATAGTGATGAAAATGCTGTATCCCAACCTGAAAAATAAAGCAAGCCAAAATTAACAGACTGAACCAAATGAAAAATCAGTCAACAAACAATTGCACAAACTTTGATCAGCAGTAAAATGAGCTGCTCAGGAAACCCAAACTAATATAACAAGAGCATGCCATAATGAAAGAGATCCATCACAGCAGAGGGATGTAAATTGAAGATCATGCTAAGTTGCTTATAACTAACAGCATTTTCGCTTACCTGAGCTGCTGTTTGATGTGGCTACAGGTCCTGATCCAAACCCAGTGTACCGTCCACCTTGGCTTGGGGGAAGATTGCTGCAGCAAAAAAAAAAAAAAAAAACATCYATGAACAAAATTCTGCAATTTCAAAATCTTGGATCAGAGCTTTTTCCCTCAGACAATAATGAAACAATGAAACAATTATTATAGTAGTAACAGAAGAGAAAACTGTCACTAATTGATCAAACGAGCCAATGAATAAACCTAAGAAAAAAAGGCCAGAACAAAACAAGCTTGGGAAATATTTGACTAAGTTGGCTAGGTAATGCTTTCTGCAGATAACAACAATAACTCCAAACTTACTCAGGTCTTGAGGCATTTTCCATCTGTTTTCTACTGAAGAAATCCTCTTTTTGTGAATTTAATTCACTCCTACAAAATCAAGACAGCTTGTGACTCAGTATGAAAATTTCAAAGCTTGGCTCAAACCATTTTCCCCCTGCTCAAGGAAACCTTCCAGCTGAAACTTTTTGGACTACAGTGGCATCTATGTCAAGTTTGCCAGATTATCGAGGAGTGTCCCGAATACACAGCTGATCTCCCGGTCTCCCGTATGGTTCAACAATTCTACCGGACAAGCATATGAAACATAATGTTTCAGACATATTTTAGCCAGTTTTTTGGGGGAATTGTATGATATTTTATGTATTTTTGTGGTTGAATTGGCAGAGCTCTACTTTGAACAACTGTTTTTTAGGATCAAGAAGGTAAAATTGGCCATCTGCCAGATTTCAATTATTTTTTGTTGGCATCTCTGCAGTGGCCACCTCAGGCAGAACTGACAGGCACTTGTTGAGAAGTATCAGTTGTAGAGAGATTTAAATAAGAACAAAACTGTGTACTGATTGCCACTTGGTTAGGATGAAAAATTCTGGCTGTTGTGGAAAGGAGATGCTACAGATAGGTGACTGTTACTGCAGATAAGACTATTCTAATTTGTAAACTGAACATTTTTTACAATGGTTTTTGGTGAAGTTTTTGAAGGTTTAAAACACAGGACAATTTCCTTGTAAAATAGTTACAAGGCTAGTACATAATATATTTTAAAACATGCAATACTTTGTCAGTGGTAAATTTTATAGTTGAACAGCAAATTTCCTTTCATACTTTGATATTCCTAACATGAGTTCTGGTGAAGAGGCACTATGAGACATTGAACTTGAGCCATTTGACATCCGGCTGCCAGCTGTGCTGCTTGAACTTCTGGAGAGTGGTGGTTCCCAGTTTCTGGCAGTTGAGGTCTCCTCTGACCATGATCTTCCATCTGCTAAGGTTGAAATCTAATTGAAACAAGAGAAAAACTTTTAGCACCAGAGTGTATAGTCAAATGTTCAGAAATCAAAATCAGTCGAACTCAATCGGAAATTGAATGTTCGATTACAGAAGTTTTTGTGTGAGTTCAATTTAGTTCCATTACTGAACTCAATCATTCAATTTCAATTGAAATTCAGTAGATTGGGTTCAATTAACTATGCCAGGTGTATGGTGATGTTAAAACTAGAATTCTTCAACAGACCAACATCTAATTTCTCCATATTGCATCCATACAGTGCCAGTCAAGTGATGAGAGTAACAAAACTCATCAGCTAAAGGATATCCCCATGAATAACCAACTTCTCACATTTCTTTTTAGGGGAAATTATGGCAATGGTTAAGGAGAATCGCTATTTCAATCTTAGGAAGGATGCATCTGGAAGAAAATCATACCTTGTCTCTGTACAATGCAGCTGCTTTGCTGTTATATTTTTCATGAATTGACATGTCTGGTCGATAATCTGGTTGAGATTTGAAGAATGCTTTGGCCTTGCTATTACCACCAACCTGTTTTAGAAATAATTGTTATAAGAAGTACTTAAAACATATATACAAAATCTGCAATCTGCAGCTGCTAATAGAATGTTATATAAAAGGGGGTTCATTAAGATTTCAAGCAGTTGTCAAGAGGTTAGTATTCAGTGAGGAAATTGACTTACAAATTAACATTATTAAGAAGTCATTTAAAATACGGCAAAGTTAAGTTAACAGATAATCAATTTTCCCAGGACCTTGCTGTGAATGTTATTACCCTGTGATGCTTTCCCAGACTCATTATATGGCAAGCATCATGTCATATGGACTCAGTTTAGTATAAAATCAGTGACTTGTTCAATGAGTTCATTTGACAGGATTTGAGGATTCTAATCTGATACATTCACAATATTACTGTATGCCACCACTGGCAAGACAAGATGAAAACTTTTTGTTTCCACTCCGTGCTCCAATGATGACGAGGACAAGCCCAAATTGTCTACCAGCTAGCTGCTCATTACCCTGATGAGATGGATGTTTTAGGAGTTTGATAGATGTTTCTATAATTTAATGGCCAGGAAACATGTGTTAGCTGCCTAATTTCTAACTACCTCTATTTACGATGGACTTTATTTTTCCATGTCAGTGCCAAAATGTACTACAGTACCTCAGTACCTAACATCGTAAAAAGCTTCACTGTTAGATCTAAATTGTCATCCAGTTTTAAAACTTGAAGTATGTACCTTCATTTTTTCCAGCTCAGTATCTTTCCACTTGTCCATAGTAACTGATCTGACAAAACTAAAGAATTCAACAACATAATTTACTTAATGATCCGATTTAGCTCATTAGGGGCTAATGGATTGTTGGTAGCTCAAGGGAGGTTGCTTATTGCAGATGGGAATTTGTTAGGGATGGGGCACTTATTTGTTTTTGAATGTGGTACAATACTTTAATGTTGGACCATAGATTCAGTGATCAGGGTTGGCTGGGGTACATGTATGTAGCTGTTTTGTGTTCTTAGGTAGCTAACGATGTTGCCAGAGAGGGGAGAGGACTTTTTTTGTTTATAACTAAATCTTCCACAATAACATAGTTGCTGTTACAATACTTAACTTTACCCTAAATATAACCCAGGGACATACTGAATGTTAATACGTTAAAACATAGAGATTACTTAATCTAAAGTAAAACTAGAAATTCGTAGTTTATTTTGTTGTACGCAAACATATCTCATTTACGTATTTTAAGCTCACGTACGAGATTGTAAATTTTAATTTTAGCTTTTCTTGATTCGTAACCAATTCAAGGGGCAGAAAAACAAAAAAGGCCCAAAGCAATTAACAACTGTGAACTTATTAAACCCACTTGTTATACCACAATGAAAACCTGTGACGCCATCAAATTCTTGCTCAATAGAATTCCATACTTCATACACCACCGAAATCATAATAAGAGATTTGTGTGCAACCGGCTTCCCGCGAGAAAAAATATATCCCTCAGGTTTTGACATAAAAATTTACACCAAGACCACTACAGTACATTAACATCGCAAGCATCATATTATTGTACCTTAAATGAACTCCTAATCCACGATGTTTGCCGGAGCATTCAAGACAGATCCATATTCCATAGGTCACGCTCACCCACTGAGGATTATGAGCCCCACATTCGAAACAACTCTACGCGATCAGAAAAACAAGAAATGGTCACAATTTTCGTACAAGAGTGATAGGAAATTACATTTCGTATTATATATTTCGATTCTACTTACACTATTACCGTCCTTCGGCTTTATTTCCTTTAAAACTCGCCTAGTTCGAGGACTGGCCATGTCGATTTCACTGAACTTCCTCCGATCTTTCACCGCCTCCGCTTTCGCTGTACGTGTACTTGTGCCACAGGTGGCTCACGGGAATTCGTATTTCACTTCCGCTTATGCTGATGACTTCCGGTTTTCTCCCATCCATCTGCCCCTGGTTGCGCACAATATTAATTTGCAGCTGTTTATGGACTTCATAAAGACGGAAAAATGGCCGAAGAAGAGTGTGAAATAAAGATCGCGGTTGTAGGAGAATCAGGAGTTGGTAAGAGCTGCATTATCAGCAGTTTTTGTAGCAGTAAGGAAGGGGAGACGACAGAAGGTCAGTTGATAAATATTTAATTTTTTTTCACTTATTCTTCGGAACGTAATCCATGTTTTTCTTCACCTCGGGGTGCTAATTACAGCTGCTCGTCGTCCGTCGATGATGTTTATTTTGTCATCGTTCACTTTTATCACTATACTGCGATTAGACTATTATTATTTTATTGCGATTTTAATACGCCGTTTAAAATCCCGTTTTAATTTCGTCCGGAATTTAACCTGTTTTTCGAACGATAAAATATATTCCCGATTATTAACCCTTAAAATTAGCAATTCACTTCACACGCTACGTTCTTTTGCATCACAATTATGTTCAATCACCATGGATACACATCGGAAAGAGTGAACAAAATCATCTGACCGATGGGAGTCTGGGTAAAACTCCGGGTTACGGAGGCTCTAGGATCAGGAGAAGACTGAGGACAAGCAAACAAGAAGCTTGAAGAAGCTCGAGATTACTTTTTATTGCGAAAAAAAGTTTAACAAGTTAAACTTATTTTGCCTCAAAATAAAATGGCCTATTATAGCGGTAAAATGTGTTGCTGATTAATTTAATTATTTGAAGGAAATGGGGGAAAGTTGCACGGCTCCCCAACCCACAGTAAACATGCGAATTCTGTGTCACCGGCAGGTCAGGAAATAACAATAGAGAAAATTGAAGTGGAGGGCAAAGAGATCAGACTTCAAATAATGTATGTATTTTAAACATATTTTAGTATTAAAAAAGCTGAAACTGTCACTTACTTTCGCCGAAACTTAATTTCGCGAAAATGGAACTGCATATTCCGCGGGATTTAAATCTCATAATTTGGTCCAAAAAAAAACGGTACCGAAACTAAATTTCGCGAAAATTGTCAAAATACTGATCTTTATTCACAAACAGTTAGTCTCAGTATACGCACAACTGATTTTAATTTTCCATATAGCAATAGTTCCCAAGGACACTGAACAAAGCCATATAACAAAACAAAACTGAAAACAATTTGACATGTTCCTTTGCAACAAAGCAGAGCTTTACAGAGTACATGAAAACGCCTGTCTGCGCTTACAATTGAAGGACATTGTCAATTTCTTCATAGAGCTGACTTTCTCCCCTCTTAGCAGCGTAGCACTTTGATTAAATAATTATATAACAAAGTATTANTTTTCTTTTTTCAAAAAAAGTTTCGTCCCGGTCACCCGGGCTGGAGTGTTCGTATACGAAATTTTCACCCCAGTTACCGAGATCTCGGCAACCGAGCCAGCCCGGCTTCTCATATGAACACATGGAAATTTTTAAGAAGGAAAGAGTAGGGAGGCGAGATCTCGGTTGACCGGGCTCAGTATATTAAGAGGCCCTCAGTTTGGGTCTTCAGTCTTAATGGAAAATCATCTTTCTCCCAGGGCATAATGGTGGTATATGACATCACAGATGAAAACTCGTTTAAGAGTTGTTCAAAGTGGTTACAGGATATTGATCAGGTAAGTAGCGAAGAAAAATTTGCATGCACTTTAATAAAAACGGTTCACAGAGTACCTAGTGCAAAGCAAATAGATGCTACATTTTGATGGAACTTGTTGGGTGAAGTTGGTTTTTCGGTGCAGACTTAAGCTCTCGATTTATAAAAGATTATTCCTTCTCGCTGCTTGTTAATAGTTCTGTTCAGCTCTATAGGATATCTATCAATGTCTTTCTAGCCTGAAATCTGCAAACTCATATGTTTAGCTAGCTCTAATTAACTGACCTAGTAAGCCATCTTGGCTTGATCAGTAACCAACTGACCGGGAGTGACTTTGTAAATCTACAATCAACAAAATGAGAATTGAGTATATTTTTGACATAACAGTACCAATTTGTTCTGTTTTCCGTTCTCAATCTGAATTTGGTTAGCTATGGGCATCATTGCCTCAATTTATGCATGCAAAATAAAACAGCTACAAAGCTGGCCTATTTACGCTTTTGCAATGTAAAAATCTCGCTCAAACGTGACTGAGCAGTTCGCTTGGTATCATAGGCCTGCAATGCGTGCAAAATAATCTGACAACAGAGTTGTCTCCACCCATTGTGGCCAAAGTTTAAGCTTGTTATCTATGGACGGTGCTGATAACAAAAAAATGTTATTTCTTATTAGCACTGTGAAAGATATCCCACAATAGCTGTCATTGGAAATAAATGTGACATGGAGGACAGAAGAGTTATCACCAAGAAAGCATTGGAAAAGGTAACGGTCATAATATACTGCCAGCTTACTAAAATTTGATTTATGTAAGCTTTGATGACT